CATTTCTAAAAAAAGATATTTTAGTCACCAAACATTTCTTATAAATAGAAAGATGATACATTTAAATTAATGTTTTATTTAATTTAAATGTTTAATCAATTTAAAAGTAAAAGTTCAATTACAACTATATTTATAATAAATTGGATATATTTTTGTTTTTTTTCTTGATTCCTCCCCCTCTTTAAAAAAAGAAAAAACGTAACATATAAACTTGTTTGCTAGTGTAAACAGTGTACTAATTTTTGGACCATTATCATTAATTATTTTGTAAGATTAGATCCAGATTTGGCTTCAGTACTGACTAATCTAATGTATACGCACAAATATATTATTGTATAGCATTCTATAGAAAGTATTTGTTTAAAAGATGGATCACTGAGCACTGCATGTATATTCAGATATGTAATTATAAAGCTTATATCCAGAGAAACTATTTTTGTCCATACCTGTACATTCAAAGACTTTTATTTATTTTATTTATTAAAGACTTTTAGAAGACAATATTTCATGGGAGTGGTCCTCCGATTAGTGGCATTTTCTGTAAAGCATCATGGGTAATGTAGTTTTACTGCACATATTTTGCTATAAAAAATAAGTTGATGATTAGATTAACAACTTCTCAAAAGCTCTGTCTTTTACTTTGAGAGCTTGCTGTATTTTATAGGATGTCTTTGAATGTAGATATATAACTAAGTAAAACTTAACTGTGAAGATAAATACAATTTATCAAGCAGTAATTCCGCCTGGTTTTTGAAATTGTAAAATACCAGTAATCAAATGACACAAAAAATGTAGTATTTATGTAGTATTTTTGTTTTTGATGCTGAAGTTAAAATGTACTAACAGCATGACAGCAGTGCATTAGATATGTTTGTTGACTTAAGTTGTGGTTGTGGAGAAGCTTTCTGCGTAATTCATTTCCATTATCCCAAGAAACGCAGGATGCGAACTGGGCAGCAAGTTACTCTGACTGTGGTAACCGTCAGAGGCAGACATTTATACTCTCCATGTTTAGTATCAGTCACATGCTTTTATATTTGAATTTCCTGATTCATCCCCATTGGCTAGTTATAGTCATTCCAAGAAATTGCAAACTAGATAACTTGTAATTGTACATGGCAATTTTACCTGTTTTCCATGAAAGAAAGGCATCTACACTGTAAAAGAATGCAGGGTTCCACACAATTCATTCATGTTGTCCTGACACAAATCAGTTAATTGTATTTACAAATGTAAGCTTATTGAACATAAACCAGTTATGTTATCCTCCCTCCCAAAAAAACAAAGAATTGTATTGATTCAGCTCATTATAAATAAGTACATTAAACAAGCAACAAAATATTTTTTTTTGATTGTATGAGGCATTTAATTGGCCATATTGATTATAAATGTTTGACCTGAATTCTTCATATGTGCTGTTATGTTATTTTTATCACCTGAGGAAGAATGGTGAAAGTTGATTAAATGGGTTATTATACTCCACACACACTATAACGTTTTGGCTTGCAAATGAGGTGTCGACTCAACCATGATCTTGTTCCTCATTTGCATTTATTTCCTTTTAACCAGTTTTTGTTTTTTGTCATCTTATGAAAAGACACACAAAAGATATCAATGTTTTACATCTGGTTAGTCTTTGACCTATTTATTCCAGGTTTCAGGAGCACTGTGTCCTTGTGTTCCCACTATAGTGTAAATATTTTCACTTTATCATTTTTAAAAGCCAAAACACTGTACGTAAATCGAAAGATTGCACTTATCCTATGACATAAGATGGGTTTCAGTCATAACACAAAGCTTTTTTTTTTTTTTTTTTAAGTTCTCACAAAAAAAGAAAAAAAAATCCCAAATTAGGTTGTTTCCATTAAGTTGTTAGAGTGCCTAACTGTAGTATTGGTAAGTTAACCTAGTGACCAACAGTAAATAAGGGAAGTATAATAGGGATTGATAATTAATAACGTGGGTCTAATGTTCAGTATGTCACAATTAATTCAGCAAATGAATTTCCATCTCCTATTATTCACGTTAATTAATTCCAAAATCACCAAAATCAAGAAAACATTTTTTAAAATTTTTTTGTAAATTACGTTTTCATAAAAATTTTAATGTTTTTATTGCTCTTATGCAGTACTTCAAAATGTGCATTAACACATAATGAACTCAGCTATCGGCTCTTTCATTTAATGTTTTAGTTGTATCTGTAGGTTTCCTAGCTGTTCTGGTGTTTAGTAAATGAAGAAGAGGTATTGATGATGGACCTTTTAGTATCAACGAACATGCATTATGAGGATTGTACTTGATTTTATTTACCCCCGCTCTTCACAACATTCATCTGCGATCTACTTCTCTCTCCCCCACCACACACACTCTTAACATTTATTGGCGATCCATATTAATCAATCCATTAACGTTCAGTTCAAGAGCAGTGGACCAATCGCTAGACATTTATTTGTGCTTGGTAGCACCATTTGGACCATGCTTCTCTGAACTATGTAACAGCTAAAAAGCGATAAAGCTATCTCATGCATATTAATGAAGTTGCATCTCATTCATAATAGTGCGCTGCTTGGTTCGAACCAACTCTTCCTCATGAATTTTGCACAGACATGCTGAAAACTGGCCGGTGCTGACAGCCAATCACCACGCTTCAATTTACACAATTACCTCATTGCCGTGAAGGAGCGTCAAAATTTCTTTTCAAACCGAAAGAACGAATTTGCTCTAAAAAAAAAAAGCAAAAACAACCAATTTTCTTTTTTTTTGTGTGAAATATATGTCCTAATCATAAACATAAATCATAAATCATAAAGATATGGACGTAGTATCTGTGACGTCACCGATAATTTTCTGAAAGGCATAAATGAAGCTACAAGTAGGCGTAAGCGTCATTGGAGCTACAAACGCCTGCTAGCATTTTGCTTAGACTGGCTTTTCTATGAGAGAAAAACGTAATACTTAATTACCTGCGACTCATTTGGGTTTTGACCACATGTGCTTTGTTGTTTACTGTATCATTAAAGTGTTTAGACTTTTAAAAACACTGTTGTAATACACTGAGCCACTAAACATTGTTCTTATGATGTTTTTCTACAGTAGGAAAACGCTAATTACTTCCAAATACTTCAAATATAGTCTGTGTTCGTAAATGCAAAGCTATTTATGAAATCCAGGCATGACACTGTATGACGACGTTTCAGATGACCATTCTAGAGCCTTCAGCTTATCAATCTGTCAGATTTTGGAGTGCATTACAGGTCTAAAGAACATGATAAATGATTATAAGTAAGACAAATACATTTAGAGATGGTAGATAAGTATATAATTTCACTTATCTGGTAAATGGTGGCAACTTGAAGGGTTTGTGAGCACAATTATGTGCACACAGCATGACATATAATCGGATAATTGTAGGGAATAATTCCAAAAGGCAATTGACTGTGTAAAGCCACATAAAACAAGACAAAACAATATGATGTATTTGCTGAGTTCAGCAGCTAATCGGCTGGAATCGGTGACAAGACAGCGAGCAGTAAGACCTAGCTGTCACTCAAGTGGCCACGCCTTTATTATGCAGACTTAATATGACTGAATAAAAACTAAACTGATGAGTTATAAAAAAAGGCCACCCCTCACAGTTGTCATGAAGGGTAACATTAGCTATATGAACCAAAACCATCTTTAGTACCAGGCTGTAAACATCTTTTTATCAGCTGTAAAATTGGCCAATTTAGCAGTCAGTGAACATCTGGATTTCCTGGAGCCAGCCCCCAAAGGAAAGTCAATGAATTGCAGTTTCAGTTACTTCCTTATTGGCTTCACGAGGGAGAATGGGAGGTTGCCGCTTGGTTCTAATAGTGTTTTAATAGCAATGTGGGACATATATATATATATATATATATATATATATATATACATATATATATATATATATAACTTTCAACTTTAAAAAAAAATGTGTTTTAGTGTTTTGTGACACTTTAAACCAAAACCATGGTATATTTTTTATACTGTCACATTTGAATATTTAACTTCATTCTTGCCAAATAAAAGTAAATTTTTATTTTAAACATGTCTTTAATCTAAATATTTCGTACAGTGTTACAGTATACAGTTGAAGTCAGAATTATTAGCCCTCCTGAATTATTAGCCCCCCTGTTTATTTTTTCCCCAATTACTGTTTAACGGAGAGAAGATTTTTTTCAACACATTTCTAAATATAATAGCTTAATAACTCATTTCTAATAACTGATTTATTTTATCTTTGTCATGAGACAGTAAATAATATTTGACTCTATATTTTCCAAGACACTTCTATACAGCTTAAAGTGACATTTTAAGGCTTAACTGGGTTAATTAGGTTAACTAGGCAGTTATGGGTAATTAGGCAAGCTATTGTATAACGATACTTTGTTGTGTAGACTATCGAAAAAATATATAGCTTAAAGGGACTAATAATTTTGTCCTAAAAATTGGTGTTTAAAAAATTAAGCACTGCTTTTATTCTAGCCGAAATAAAACAAATAAGACTTTCTCCAGAAGAAAAAATATTATCAGATGTACTGTGAAAATTTCCTTGCTCTGATGAACATCATTTGGGAAATAATTAAAATAAAAGATAAATAAATAAATAAAGGGGGGCTAATAATTCTGACTTCAACTGTATTTTTTAAAATAATATATCGATGTGATTTGCACATCTGACTCATTGATAATCTTGCCAAACAGTGTTTTACCTTATAACATTTGTCTAGACCATCTGTCATTTGTTATTAATTAAAAGTGCAGAGAAATCAGTGTTCATAAAGGCAGATAACTAAAGCTTATGGATATGTTGTTTTTATTTGCCTGCTCAGGGGAACGTTGAGGCAGGCAGCATCTGAAAAATCGATGGTAATTGGCTGTGCTTGAAGTGGCTCGGCAACAGTAGTCAGGGATGGTGATATATATCACATTAACGGTGTGTGTTTGTTGAACTGTGCGGCCTGTATGTGTGTTCACTTCAGAAACGCAGTGATTCGTCTCGTGAGGGAAACGTCGCTTCTCTGGCCTCCTTTCAGGGACTCATCATGTCCAGTGACCCTCCTCCTCCATACCCCGGGGGCCCCAATGCTCCGCTCCTCGAGGAGAAGAACGGACAACCTCTGCATTCTGGTAAATTTCTTGATATTCCTTTCATCTCTGTTGACATTTAACTTGAACTCTTGCGTTTTTTTAACTGCTTTGAAGATGAATTCACTATGTGTAAGTGCAGTGGCTTGAAAGCTTTATGGGCTGTCCAGCTGTGCTGAGAGTTAAAGGTAAATTATGGAAAATTTAATGAAAATGCCCACTTCACAAACTTATAGTTTTTTTTGTGTGTGAAATTTAATTGATTGAGGGAGGATTAGACTATAAATTGTAAAAAAACATTTTGTATAAATATTATATTGATAAAAGTAGAATTTGAGCAACATGATGAAATATGCTGGCCATGTTTTAAAACATGCTAGCATGAAGTTAGTAATATCATGGTTTTCGCTACATTAATTCTTCGATGGTGGGGCACCACACCAAAATTAACTCCCGCCACGGCTACATTACAGCTTCTCATTGAAAACCTTCAGAGTTGTTAATGTTTTATTTATTTATTTATTTATTTTTTTCATATAGAGAGTTATAATCGCACAAACATATGAAAATTTAAGTGAATTATAAAAGACCAAACTTGTTTGTAATAAAAGTACTGCTGTGCGTTATTTGTTTAACCCTTAAAGATTACTTGCTGACCAGTGGTGGAAAGAGTACTGAAAAAGCATACTTGAGTAAAAGTACCATTACTTGCCTAAAAATGTAGTGTGAGTAGAGTAAAAGTATCTGTTGTAAATATTACTCAAAGTATGAGTAAAAAGTAGCCCTTTTAAAAGTACTCAATGAGTACTGAGTATTATGCTGTTAAAAGTTGATGCATTTACATGTAATTTGTGGATGTGTGTAAACCTAACATTCTGTAGTGCACTTAGTTATTGCCCAGCAGGCACACAATGTCATAAGACGTTACAGTTTTTTTGGATTGCTTAAGCACAATTTTCAAAACAGGGCCCGTGTTTTCAAAACAGTACACACAATTAGCACAACCACACACCCAATTAGCAAAACATTACAGATCCTTTGCATAATTAAACACTCTTATAAAAACTATAGACTTATGTTTAAAAACCACACTTTTTTACCATAAGAAACACACATTTTCACATTTACTATACACTGTTTGCACGAGTTACACACTGCTGTGATAAACCTAAAACACTTTTAGCACTTCTGCTTCCCTGTGATTAGAGTAGGCTACCATCAACAAAGTACAAATATAAAGTAAATTCACCAAACACTACACAAGAACAATGTTGCACCTTGAAGAAACTCATTTATTCCTCAACATGTCCAACATGTTGGCATGAAGATTCAAAGTACTGTAACATGTCACTTTACGTATTGAACTGTAAGATAGATCTGGCATGAGAATTATCAATTGCAATGTTGTCCTTAGCAAGACACCTTGGAAAGAAGTGTCTTGAATGTAGAATCACGTATTGCTGCTACCTCCATCTGGTCACAGGCCTCCTCCATGGCTTGGATGAGGGGTACCTCAGCTCGGAGATGAAGATCATATACTTTCCACCACTATGCCGAGAAAAACTTTTCAATAGGGTTGAGGAATGGAGAGTATGGTGGAAGATATAGGACGGTAAAATGTGGATGTTGCTAAAACCAGTTCTGAACCAGAGCAGAACGGTGGAAAGACACATTGTCCCAGACAACAATGTATTGCGTATGATCGATTTCATTTGCTGCTGTTATGTTGTACAATTGGTCCAAGAATGTAAGTATATGTGCTGTGTTGTAAGGGCCCATATGGTCATGGCAGTGGAGGACCCCATTCTTTGTAATGGCAGCACAGAGTGTTACTGTATATTTCCCCCACGTTGCCCTGGGACATTGACTATAGCCCTGTGGCTAATGATGTTTCTTCTACTCTGTGTTCTCGTCAGGTTGAACACACCATCATCTATGTAAGCAAACTCATGCTAGATCTCCTCTCCATCCATTCGTAAAACTACCTGAAGAACAGTGTCAGCCAAAATTGTGTAGTTCAGTGTAGATCTAGTATTACAGTACAGTAAAAGTTTATGAGACAGTATGCAAGATCACAAGTAAATACATACCTCTGCATAATCATGCCACAGTCTTTTCACCCTTTCGAAATTGTGCTCGAAAGGCACTCCATAAATTTGCTTCATTTGAATATATATATATATATATATATATATATATATATATATATATATATATTTTTTTTTTTTTTTTTTTATGGTGTGTGACAGTGTTGATATTGAGACCTGATGGTTTTCATTGAAACTGGCATTTTACAGTGCTTAAACACCTGATTTGTGTGTCTACAATTAATCAAACAAGTGTTTGCACACCTGACGACTGTGTTGAACCAATTGGTTGGACGGTGCAGTAATTTGACAGTCAGTGCTTTGGTATTGCAAGGAAGAGACTTCATGATAGATTTTAGTGTGTTATGTATGTTAAGTGTGTTTAGTGTTTTGCAAATCACTTTGTGTAGAGATTTGCAACAAGTGTGAAGCTGACAATGTGCTTATAGTTGTGCAAATATGGGCTGATGTTTTGATACTTGTGTGTAAGGTTTTGCTAATAGTGTACTACTTTTAATTTTAGTGTGTAAGCAATCCAAAAAAACTGTAATATTAGGTCAGATTTAGGTTGTGATGTCAGGTGACCAAAAGTCAATACCTAGCCAGCGTCTAAGGACAACATTATTTTAATTGTCCAATAATGACATTAAATGACATTGATATTTGGTTGATTTTAGGTTGTTAGAAAGTGACCAAAATCCAATGTCGAACCAACATCTTAACATCCTATTGACGTCAAATACTGACATTTACTCATCAGTTATGGCAACCAAAATTCAACATTTGATAGATGTTATGGTGGTAACGTCGACACAACATCAAGCTGTAACATCATTAGATGTTGATATTTGGTGGGTTTAGGTTGGACAGTGACATCGGGCTGATGTTGAGTTCTGATGTTAACATAATTTTCATTTCCAAACAAAATGCAGTGTCTCCACAACGTTAGAGTACAATTTCAATCTGACGGCATGTTGACATCTTGTGTCTGCTGGGTGTTTAAGGCCATTTCAATCATCATACAGTAAATATGCATCATCTTCTCATCAGTGACATGCATCTAAACCAGGGTTGCCCATACTCTGTCCTGGAGGGCCGGTGTCCTGCAAAGTTTAGTTCCAATCCCAATTAGACACACCTGGGCTTGCTAATCAATCTCATACTAGACTTTCTAGAAACATCTGTGCAGGTGTGTTGAGGCAAGTTGGAGCTAAAATCTGCAGGACATCGGCCCTCCAGAACTGTGGCTGTTTCTCAATATGCATTCTTCAGCAGTCTTGCATCCTCGTGTTCTAGTATAACGTCATCATCAGCTGCCAAAGTTCAGTTCCAATACTCAAGACCACAAGAACTCTGTTCTTCCGAGGACACCTGGCAAGACAGGTCTCCACAAGAACGCAAGTCCATTCTCTGCATTCTTGGAATTGGGAAACAGCCTGTGTTTGGGTATCCCTGTCCTAAACAGTCTCTGGGTCAATGCGTGTAAAGATTTTAAACATCTTCTTGGACACTTAATGCTTCCAAACAGTTTGCTGCAATGTAAAGTGCACATGTCTTGAAGTAGTTCATTATGTGCAATTTACCTTCTATGTGTGATTTGATTGAACATGAATTACAGGACTGATTTTTCTAATTCCCATAAACAAGAAAAAATAAAGTAGTAACTGCAGGTTGAAGGAAAGTAGTGAGAGTAAAAGGACAGATACTGCACTAAAAATGTACTCAAGGTAAAGTAAAAGTACACATTTTTAAAACTACTTAGTAAATTACAATTTCTGAGATAAACTACTCAATTACAGTACCTTGAGTATTTGTAATTAGTTACTTTACACCACTGTTACTGACTGACTGACTGACAGGGCTGCGAGATGCAGGAGGCCAGCAAACATGACATAGCTCTCAGTTATGATTTACACACTTTCTATAATTATGCTTTATTTATAGATAAAGCAGTGACTACAGTGACTTTATCTTGCTGGAGTTTATAGCCACTTCACTTTACTTCAGGATGCACCAATGCTGTTCTGTAGGTCTTCTGGAGACATTTATAAATATTCAGTGTAAATCTTTTCATTGCATTTTCTTGTTAAAAATACTCGAATTAGCCACAACAACTACATAAAATTTAATCAGTGTAAAAACATCAAGATTCAAATATATTGCAGAGAAATGTAAAGAATAAAAATAGAAATATTAATAAAATATTTAAATATATTTTAAATATATAAATAAAAATATAAATATTATAAATGTATACAAATATTTTGGATGTTCTCCAATATCATGAAGCCATGATTTAAAATAAATTTATAACCAATTATGTTGTTATTTTAAACTACCATTTGAGACCAGCAAATTAGCAGCAAACCTATTGTAATATAAAAGAAACCCACATTCAATTTTCCTTTAACAACTACCATAAAACGTTGTTGTTAAAGTCATTTATATGAATATTATTGCATACACGTCTACAAAAAGATGAGTATTCATTTAGACCCCACTGTTTAAAAATGATTTTATGAGAAGCAAGTAGGGCTGTGCAATTTGGGGAAAATATATTATTGTGATTTATTTTATTTTCACACATTTTTTAAAAATGTAATTATTATTTTTTTTGGACAGATTTTGTGATTTTAATTTTATAGTCAAGCTTCAGCTCAATAATCTGTAAGCCATGGCAAGCTCTTAAAAATGACCTGTTTTTGTTTTGACTTTGAAACCAAAATATTCCCATATTACCAATGCTGTTTTTTTTATATTAAGTTGTCTATTAATGCTTCTAAAGCAGCAGATGCCATTATCCCATGGCATTCCGCATGGGGTTCAGTTGTGAAATTCTGATTGGGCAGAACGAAAGTATGGTCACTCAATTGGCTAGTAAGACTTTCACACACCAATGGCAGTCACGCATTTGCTCTGGGTGGGGGAAATTAAATACTATATATTTCATATCGTAGCCTCTTGCGATTTAGCTAACACAACGTTTAGAATTGCAATTGCTATTTGATTTCGATTGATCACACAGCCCTAGAAGCAAGTCTAGCTTTGGGGAGACAGAAATCGTGTCCTTTCCATGATTTGTGATAAATTTGTGTCTCCTCAGCAGGCACTGCTCCAGTAATGACTGGACCTCCTCAAGGACACCCTCTGCCTCCAGAATATGGACCTCCACCTTATGAAGCCACACAGCAACCTGGCTTCGTCCCTCCACACGTCCCAGGCGAAGGCCCCATCCCGAAGCCAATGCATATGCCAATGCCTATGCCTCATCCTCATGGTAAGTGTGCCAATCAAAAGATTCAAAGTAGGTCGGCACACTGCCACTTTAGCTCTCAAAAAATTTTATTAGTCAAAATTACAAAAACACTACGTTTCGACCGACATGGTCTTCATCAGGTAAAGCGTTGCAAATGGAAGTCCTCCAGAAATAGACAAACAGCTCTACACAGCACCTGCAGTCAATTATCACAATCAGCTAACAAGCCGGTAAACAGGAACAATTGCATACAATAATATACATCTTAAACAATGTGAAAAACATGAATACAATTACAAACAGACATTTAAAATACAAATACAAATTCTCACTATAGAATTCCTCGGAGACAGTATTCTATAGGCTAGATAGATATAGCACATCACACCTGCACAAAATCACATCACTTAAACAAAGCCAGTAGACCTAGGGGCAAAAAACATGTACATATTTAGTATACAACAATTCATTCATTCATTCTCTTGTCAGCTTAGTCCCTTTACCAATCCGGGGTCGCCACAACAGAATGAACCGCCAACTAATCCAGCAAGTCTCTACGCAGCGGATGCCCTTCCAGCCGCAACCCATCTCTGGGAAAAATATACAACAATATAGAATGCACAAACACTTACAAAAAAGATTTTAAATCAAAATCTAAATTCAAACCTCTCGGGGATAAAGTGTTTAGTGTGTAAATGTAAAACGCTTCCCTCTGTAATAAAAGTCTGTCAACATCGCCTCCCCTTCTCGGCACCTTCACTTGTTCAATGCCAATATATCGCAAAGTCGCAAGGTTATGTTTCAATGCATTAAAATGAACGGCGATAGGATTTCGTTGATCGTTTAATTAACGTTTAATTAACGTTTGAAAAACAACGTAAGGAATTATGTCAACGTTTTTATGATAGAGGTTATTCTACAAAATGGATTAAGGAAGCTGCGGCCCGTTTCGAAAATATGGATCAAAAAGAAGCCTTGGTTCGAAAAACACTAAAACCTACTAACACACGGATTTCTTGTATTATTCAATATTCGGCTTTAAGTAATGAGTTTGCAAATATAGTACGTAGACATTGGCATATATTAAATTCAGACCCTGTTATGAGACACTGTTGTAAAGATCCTTCACGAATTGTTTTTAAACGAGCTCCTAATGTGCGACAAATGATAGTGAGAGCAGATCAAGGTTCCGATCGGTCGGATAATCCTTTCTCAGTCCCTGAAGGTAACTATAGATGTGGTCAATGCGCACAGTGTAATTTTACAACCAAATGTCAGTTTTTTAGTCATCCACATTCAGGTAAGCAATTAAAGATTAAAGGTGTGATTTCATGCAACACAAAAAATGTGATCTATATGATTAAATGTCCTTGTGGTTTAGCCTATATAGGTAAAACAAGACGGTGTTTAAAAACACGAATTGCTGAACACAGAAGTAATATACGATTAAACGATCAACGAAATCCTATCGCCGTTCATTTTAATGCATTGAAACATAACCTTGCGACTTTGCGATATATTGGCATTGAACAAGTGAAGGTGCCGAGAAGGGGTGGCGATGTTGACAGACTTTTATTACAGAGGGAAGCGTTTTACATTTACACACTAAACACTTTATCCCCGAGAGGTTTGAATTTAGATTTTGATTTAAAATCTTTTTTGTAAGTGTTTGTGCATTCTATATTGTTGTATATTTTTCCCAGAGATGGGTTGCGGCTGGAAGGGCATCCGCTGCGTAGAGACTTGCTGGATTAGTTGGCGGTTCATTCTGTTGTGGCGACCCCGGATTGGTAAAGGGACTAAGCTGAGAAGAGAATGAATGAATGAATTGTTGTATACTAAATATGTACATAATGTTTTTTGCCCCTAGGTCTACTGGCTTTGTTTAAGTGATGTGATTTTGTGCAGGTGTGATGTGCTATATCTATCTAGCCTATAGAATACTGTCTCCGAGGAATTCTATAGTGAGAATTTGTATTTGTATTTTAAATGTCTGTTTGTAATTGTATTCATGTTTTTCACATTGTTTAAGATGTATATTATTGTATGCAATTGTTCCTGTTTACCGGCTTGTTAGCTGATTGTGATAATTGACTGCAGGTGCTGTGTAGAGCTGTTTGTCTATTTCTGGAGGACTTCCATTTGCAACGCTTTACCTGATGAAGACCATGTCGGTCGAAACGTAGTGTTTTTGTAATTTTGACTAATAAAATTTTTTGAGAGCTAAAGTGGCAGTGTGCCGACCTACTTTGAATCTTTTGCTACTTATGTTTGTTTTTTGATCGTGCACCTGCCTTCAAGTTTTTTCTCTAGATGTGCGCACATTTCTGTTTTTTGCAAGTGTGCCAATCAAACCAACACCATCAGCAGCCATTCAGAAACCATTAGGGTTACTGAGAGAAGAGAAAGTGAAAAATAATGCAGGTCATGATTCAGTTTACAGTGAAAATGAAAGTGAAGTGTTTGGTTAAAGAGCAGAAAGTGGTTTTTAATTAGTTAATATGATTTAAATAGAAAAAAATGGTAATAATTGTTAAGGAACTGACAGTTTTAACCCAAAAACCTAGCTAAGAGTCAAAGTCAGAGACTCAATAAAAGAAAGTTTACAAAGGAGAGTTGCATTTTTATTAAGCATAAGCCATCTTCAACACCAACAAAGAGTTTGTAGGCTGCTCTGCTTACAATCTCAAATCAACAACAATCACACTCTCACATAACATCATAAACTGTGTCAAATACAGCGTGTGGATTACAAGGGGATTTGGGGGGGATTGATCCCCCTAATTAATGCTTGATCTTTCCTGAAGGACATCAAAACAACATGGCGGTCAGCTCTTTAATACTAAGATATAATTTGCTCTGCTTTGTATTTTAATTAATAATGTAAATAATTAAAATGTGTATAAAAAATCTAATTAATAATATAAATACACATTTGACCACCCCTACATGCATTCATATCACTGTGAATGCATAATCGCATCAGTCAGTCTGTGAGAAAAAACTCATTCAACAGTCTTAAACCGGCATATCTAGAGCACCGATAGACAATGTAACTGTCCACGAGACTGTTTCTGTGAAGCCTAAAAGTAAAGTCAAATTAGATTATAGTTTGCATAGTTTGACTTACAGTGATCTCAGGAGTAGCTAATCGGATACTGTAGGTAAGAATACACAAAATATCCCACAAAACACTGAAAACTTAAATACATTTGATTAATAAAGATGTCATTTAAATAAATACATACAGTACATTTGATTCACTGAAGCATGTATAACAAAAACTAGCTGAAAAAGTTGACTAGGGTTGGGCCGATAGACGATGCCATCGTCCATCGCTGATGGGATGGCCTATAGACAACACGATGATGAGCCGACATCGTCGATCCTCTGCCCCGTCGCAAACCCGCTCACGAAAAATACACTCTCAGGCCCCATTTACACTAATACGTCTTCGTTTTAAAATGCATTTTACAACGAAAATTATCCACATCCACACAGTGTTTTACCTAACATGTCTGAACAGCCCTCTGTCCGCTGATAACGCACATCACGTGACCACACACACACACAGACACACACACTGTCATGCGCTCGTCTTAGCTCCAGAAAGCAGTGCATGTCGTACAGTTTACCAAGGATGTACCGCTGGATCGCGTCTCTCTTAGTTGTTAAACATAATATTTAATTAATCTTGTCTCTATCTAATGACTCTTCTGTCTTTTGAATCTGTCAGGTGTCACAGTGTCTGTACACTGCTTCAGTCTTTCACTTTCACACTTGTACTTAGTAATTTTAGTGAAAACCTCAGATACTGTTGGTTGTGCACCTTTTTTACTGACCAACCTCCCGCGGAAAAAGTGATTGACATGTTGTGATTTGTGTGGGTCAGGTAGTTGAAATGGTAGACTACAAATAATAAATTCATTATGAATGAATTAATTATTAATAAATAATTAATTCACCTCCGCCTATGACGACGATGCCATCATCCATTGTGATGTCACACATTCGGCATCATACGATGCCAAATTGGTCGACATCGTCCAAACCTAAATTTGACCCTGTCCACCCACCCCAGTTGTTAGTGTGTAGTTCACACCCTGGTCATACATATAGGTGTATTAACCTGATTGGTGTCACATAGGTGTCACATACGCTCCTAGGACTTGAGTGGACAGCACATTTTAGTTCTTAAGTGGCTATTTAAAAATACTTTGAATGTTTTATTTTTTGTTACAGACATGCAGTGTCATCCTGCAACTGTTTTGCAGCATATGAAATGTCCCAAAACCTAAAACAATACTTGGATTTTTATTCTAATTGGGTTCCAAGAAGCTCAAATAGCAAAGAGGAATAAAAAATGCATGTAAAAAACACCTTGGGCCTTAAGAGGATACAAAAGTCAGACAGCCACTAGTCTATTCAGAGCTGACCCCAGACAGCTGTAAACATCATCCTCAAACAAACAGAACAAACACACACATTATCCTCAAACAAACAGAACACACACACACACACACACACACACACACACACACACACACACAAACGCACACACACACGCACAGTACAATCTGTTTCATACTCAAGGCTGTTTCATGTACTCTCAGTCATCTTATCAAAACTGGTTTAATCAACATCCAAACTGGCAGCTTGCTACTAGACAGAAAGTCCATCTCGCATACAAAGGAATTTACTTAAAATAACCTCTCACCTGGCTTGGTAGATCCTGAGAAAACAAATAATTTGGCATACAGAAGAAGCAAAGACACGCATATCATTACAGTTTTACTCTGAAAAAAGATGACACTAAGGTCATCTTATAATCTAGGCTCTTAAACATTCAATTTTATTAATAATCACAAAGACATAAGAAAGCATATGTGTTACTCTATCCTGAAGCGGACTTCCAACAGAAAATCCATGCCTTCATACTTTTAAAGTTCTGGTCTATTAGTTAGTCTATTTACCAATATGACAAACAATACATTTATTACAGTTTTAATTCCTCTTTGATATAGCATTGAAAAATAAAGTTTTTCAAATAAAGGATTTTTTTTTAATATTATAAAACATATTAATAAATGCTCTACAAGATGGTTCATGTTAATTCATTGAGGTTTCATTGTGAATTCTATTCAGGATACTAAAAAAGAAAACGGTAACACTATAACTACACACTACGAATCATCTATTATGCATTAGCAATTAGTAAATTCATTATCTGTTAACCACTAACTCTACATTTATAGACGTTAGTAAGCAGTTAATAAATACAGCTACAAATGCTGTATTGACTTATAAGCACATTTATAATGTGCATAACAATTGTTCTTTCATACTTTATTTGTTATTAATTGTTCATTACTACATTCAGTATTGCATTATTTACAAACCATCTGTATTTAAGAGTAGTTGGTGGCTTTTAGAATCATTTAGATTGAGTTAGTAAACAATTAATTAACTATTCAAATCAACATTTCTATATTTTATTATTCAGTCATATAGTAATGGCTACTATCTATGTTAATAAATGCTTTATTAAGTCAACTTCATGCAGTTTTGTCACCTAATCTAATGTGGGGGATGTTTATGCTTTGTAAAACCTTTAAATTGCAATCAAAGGCTCCGTATCAAATGAAAAACAGCATTGCCGAATAACAGGAATGTCAAAATACAAATGGAAATAAATGCAGTTAAATAAAAGTAGATAAAACACCAACAATATAATAATTTAACAATATATTATGATACAACATTTCAAAGTTGTTTAACAAAGTTTAAACTGTACAGTAATTTTATTTTACATAAGATATTGATGTATCTTCAAGATGTATCTTCAAGTAAATAGAAATTAAGTCATTTATTTTCTTTTTGTCATGTTAAGAATAAAACTGACCCTTTAGTTGTCATTCAGAAGGGATTTATAAAGCATAATAATAATCATTAAAAAGCTATAAAAATACAATTAAAGACATTATAAATGTGCTCGTAAGTCTAGAATAGAGTATTTGTAGCTGTATTTATAAACTGCTTACTGACGTTTATTAATGTTGACGTTTATTAATATTAATTAAGAGTTAATGAATCCATTATTTGCTAATGCTTAATAAATGATTTATAGTGTGTAGTTATTATTTGTGTTACCGTGTGTTTTTCCCCCAATAATAAACACCTTAATTTCAGAACTACATGATGTGTTTACTTGTTATCTTTGATTAATATCTAATTAGTTTGATCATGTGAAACCTTAAAGTGTGACTAACCTGTATAAAAAAATTAAGAAATCATTACTTGCAAATTCTTTTTCACACTACTGTATGTACCCATATTGCATTTCAATTTCAAGCTCTTTACAGCATCTTAAAAACACACCATTACCAACAAACATTGTTTTCCTAAATAAAGTATAACTAAACTTGAAAATGAATGTGCTGCAGGTGGTTACTATCCTCCCCTTGGGCACTTTCCTCATACGATGGGCGAGTATGCTGGTCCAGGGCCCAGTCACTTTGCTCCAGGGCACACAGCCACAGTTCTGGCTCCTCCAGGTGCCGCCACCACCACCGTGACTGTCCTACAGGGGGAGATGTTTCAGTCGGCTCCAGTGCAGACGGTTTGCCCACACTGCCAACAGCCCATCATTACCCGCATCAGCCATGACATCGGCCTCATGAACACACTTGTCTGCATGTTCTGCTTCTTTGTCGGGTGAGTAGTGAACTGAACAACTCAATATTAAAAATAATAATAGTTCCTTACATTTCTGGACAATCAAAGTGCTTATTAGTGAAGAGGAGACAATAATGATATGGGGATGTTTAGGAGGCCATGATGGGCAGAAGCCAGTTGCCAAATTTGGCCAGGATGCCTAGGTTAAACCCTTACTCTTTTTCGAAGGACATCCTGGGATTTTTAACGACCACAGACCTCGGTTTAACGTCTCATGTGAAAGACAGTGCTCAATGAGCAGTATAGAGTCCCCTTCACTATACTGGGGCGTTAGGACCCACACAGTCCGCTGATTGGGCGCCCCCTGCTCGCCTCACTAACATCATTTCCGGCTGCAACCTAGCTTTTTATATGGCGATATTATTGTTCCATGAACAGTTCCTGCTTGTCATCAAACTATTTCAGAACTGTAACAAGAAGTGATTCAATCATAACTAATGTTAACACAGCTGCCATTTAAAAAAAAATATCATCATGTGGAGCTTTCTGGATTCTTGGAAACTATGGAAAATTAAAATTTATTACAGCAAATACATTAGAACCATTGTTATTGTTAACATCCCTCAAAATGATCCACAAAATGATCCATATTGACCTTATTCTGTTTCCTATGGGAGAAATGACTTTGAATAATAAACAGCAGAAAACTATTAAACTACTTGCTCTACAAACAAGTAAGTCAATGACTATAGACCAATTTGAGTTATGTAAATAGAAACAATGGTCTCAACGTATTTGCTGTTGTACATTTTTTTTTTATTTCTTTATCTTCAGAGAATGCAAAAAGAGCCACACATTAATGCATAATGTTATAATAGCTGTTTTAACATTAAGTCCTGATTGAATTGCCTCTTGTTACAGTTGTGAAATAGTTTGATAACAAGCAGGAAATGTTCATGGGCCAATGGGATTAGCACATTAGAATGGTGTATAAAGGCAAAGTAGAATAATATAAGAAGAAAACATCAGTCTGTATCATCAAGCAGCAGAACGTCTAAAAATAAATGGAAGTGAATAGGACTGAAAGTCTCTAGCCAAAAAGATTCGAATTGCTGCACCCGCTTATAAGTGAAGAAAAAGGTCCAATACTAATACTGTGGCAAAATTTCAGTGACAAGCAATTTGACTGTCTGCACTAGACGCCACGGAAACATTTGAATATCAGACATTAAGAAGCGCAGAAGAGCACACTGCACTTCCAGCCAAGTGGACAGGTTTCTTATCTAATTATTGAATATTACACTTTATTAGCATTATTAAACGTACATGCAGAGGGACTGATTTTGTAGGTTTACACAGTTCTTCCATTCACGTAAACTTCATGTTTGCTAGTTGTTTTATTTTCAAGATCTAAGGTAAACTGCTGTCGGTTTCATTATGGCGGTAAATGTAACGTAAAATGGTATTCTGGAAATCAACATTGATTTGGTAGAATGATCAAGTGCGTTCATCACTTATATCTTATATTTTCATCACAATATCTGATGAAATCAAATCATAACAATACATCTTGGCATTCCCACATGCATGATGCAAAGGAAACTCAAGGTATTGGGACTAAACAGCAGCGTAGCCTTAAGAAAACCTCTTATCAATGAGGATAATCTAGAACGAAGGCTTCAATTTGCTAGGGAGCATAAAGATTAGACTGCGGGGCACTAGAAAAAGGTCATATGGTCTGGTCTGATGAGTCCAGATTTACCTTGTTTTAGAGTGATGTAACATCAATCCTAGTGCCTACCATACAAGTCTATTGGGTCAGTGCTGTGATCTGTGATCTGCAGTTGCTCATCTCTAGATTCAGCAATGTTATGTGTCCAAAGGATGTGGTCAGTTGAATATATTGTATGACCAGATTATTCCCTCAATGGATTTTTTCTTCCCTGATGACTTAGACCAAGTGTTTCTTAACCACGTTCCTGGAGGACCACCAGCTCTGCACATTTTCCTTGTCTCCTTAACCAAACACACCTGATTCAGATAAAAAGCTCGTTAGGAGAGACTGAAAGACCTGTAATAGGTGTGACATTCAAAACATGCAGTGTTGGTGGAACGTGGTTGAGAAACACTGGCTTAGACATATTTCAATATCAGGATTCATCTGGCTTAAATTGTGAGAGAGTGATCCAGGGAGCTTTAGATACCATTTTACAAATGGATTGGCCACTAAAGAGTCCTGACATTAACCTTATTGAGTATTTTTGGGATGTGCTGGAGGAAACTTGCAACTCTCCGATCATCAATACAAGATTTTGGTGAAAAATAAATGCAACCAATAATGCCACGGTGAACATGCCACAGAATTAATGCTAAAGGTCGACCAATGAAATATTAGTGTGCGTGAATTTTTATTAGAAAAGTGCTAGCAACATACTAACATGTTAAAAATTAATATTAATATGTGATTGCTTTTGATTTCTGTCTTTGTTTTGCAGTTGCGACCTAGGTTGCTGCTTGATCCCCTGCTTGATCGACGACCTCAAGGACGTGACGCACACCTGCCCGAACTGCAAGGGCTATATTTACACATACAAGCGCATATGCTAACAGTTTATCCCGTCAACAAATGTGCTGCAACCTGATGTTGGTGGGTGTCGGCGACTCACTTTCATTTCCGTCCGCTCCGTTTTCACTTTCCCCCTACCTGACAGCTCATATTTCTAGCCATTGCTCAGTTTATGTGACCGCATTTAATTTACAGGCACATTTTATAGTTACAGATGCACGTCAAATGAAGAATTCACTCGAGAAGGCACATTTTATATGCACGATGGTCAGGGTTACATCAAAGCACTATTTTGTTTTTTATTTATTATTTTAGCAGTGAAGTGTATATGTGAAAGGGAATATGTGAAAAGAGGCTTGCGTAACAAAACTAGGTGAGTTTCATTCAGGGTCAGTATTGCTGGATTCTTATTTTATGCATTATAGTTTTATTTTAACCTTAAAATGGAATTTTTTCATAGCTGGTTTTAAAGACATCGCTCTTACCTGTGTGTCTCTGTGTGTGGCATTTTATGCAAATGTTATGGAAATGTATTTTCCTTTTTTAGTTTTAATTTCAATCTCTTGTCTGGATTTGATATGCTTGTATATGTAACATGCATTGTTGTGCAGACGTGTCATTTCTAGATGAAGGGTTTCTATTTATAAGGCATATATACAGTAATGTATGCCAATCCAGCCTGATCTCACGAGAAAACGTTCGTATTTTACGTTCTGTCAGTTTAGTGGCTAATTCATATGAGTTCTTTCCTATTAAATATACGATTTTAAAAAGGAGGTGTGGCACCCAACCCCGCCTCTAAACCCAATCGTCATTGGGTGATGAGCAAATCGTACTAAATTGTACGAATTAGATCGTATAAATTCATACGAATTAAGCTGCGGTCACCCTTGAGTTTGAGTTTGCGAAATTCTGTCGTATGGTGCTGTGAAAAGGGCCGGGATTAAACAAGATGATTAGACATTTTAAAAAATGCAAGCGATTGGTCCGTATTTAAGATTTCTGTCCAGAGAGGTCATGTTTTGGTCCTCGATTGGTCTCACGCAATCAAGTGATGCGATTTCAAGGTCAGAGTTCACAAAGCTTGAACTTTGCAACGCAGTGACTTGCGAAACTTCATGCACGAACTTGCGTTTTCGGTCTGATGCGTTTCCGTGTGTATGAATGGAAGTCTATGGGGAGAGAAGTCCAGTGTGACCGCAGCTTTAGCCACTAAATGAAAAAGTTACGAATTGCTGTGAGATTGCGTTGGCCAATCTGAATCACCTTTTATTGATTTAGAGACACTAAATAGCCTTCATTAAAGCGCCTGGCGTTTTAATATGCCATGCGGTTCATGTTAGGGTCGATATTTGTGGAATGCAAACTAATATACAGAGAATTTGATTTCAACTGTGAATCGAAGCTATAGCCACGGTGCTTTTCAAACCTCTATACTTAGCTGTTCTGTGTTGTCGATAAGCTGTGTAAACTGGGACTTGTGTAAACCGTCATCTGTTATCCAGGTCGGTTCGTTTATAAGGTAGGTCAGTGTTTGCTACTATAATGATCGACGTAGAAGCATCTACAAGCATTTATTCTTGCCAGCTCTACTACAGAACATGTTTAGAAGTGATTGTTGCGTTACTTTCAGATTCTATTAGCTGTAGTGTTGTTGTTGTCTTAAAAAAAAGGGAGAAAATGTCTGGCTTTTCTGTTGGCGTAGACCAGCACACCGCAGGGCATCGCTGTAATCTCGCTCATATTTTTTAGGCCATATGTGCATCAGTGTGTCACGCTGGGCTGCTTTCTGAACTGGCCTTCAGAAGTCAAAGCAGATTAACTATGCGCTTATTAATACTGTGTGCAACAAGCCATGAGGATTTAATGGATGATCATCCTTATTTTTTCTTTCTTATTTTTTTTTCCTTCATGGTCAGATTGTATCATCCAAAGAGATTGTTTCCTTTTTTTCTGCCTGCAAAAATGTGAACTCTTAAGTCATGTTGCTCTGTTTTTATACTGACGAAGTGGTACGAATTCAAAAGCACCAATACTACACTCACTGGCCACTTTATTAGGTACACCTGTCTAACTGCTTGTTAACGCAAATTTCAAATTAGCTAATCACATGGCAGCAACTCAGTGCATTTAGGCATGTAGACATGGTCAAGATGATCTAGTGCAGTTCAAACTGAGCATCAGAATGGGGAAGAAAACAGATTTAAGTGACTTTGAACATGGCATGGTTGTTGGTGCCAGACGGACTGGTCTTAGTATTTCAGATATTGCTGATCTTCTAGAATTTCATGCACAACCATCTCTGTGATTTTTAGAGAACGGTGCAAAAAAGAGAAAATATCCAGTGAGCAGCAGTACTGTGGGCACAAATGCCTTGTTGATGCCAGAGGTCAGAGGAGAATGGCCAGACTGGTTCCAGCTGATAGAAAGGCAACAGTAACTCAAATAACCACTTGTTACAATTGAGATTTGCAGAAGAGCATCTCTGAATGCACAACACATCCAACCTTGAGGCAGATGGGCTACAGCAGCAGAAGACCAAAACGGGTGCCACTCCTGTCAGCTAAGAACAGGAAACTGAGGCTACAATTTGCACAGGCTCACCAAAATTGGACATTAGTCATCACTTAGTACCAATTGAGCATCGTGTCAATGCCACAGCCTACCTGAGTATTATTGCGGATCATGTCCATCCCTTTATGATCACAGTGTACCCATCTTCTGATGGCTCATAAAGCGCAAATCATCTCAGACTAAATTCTTAAACATAACAATGAGTTCACTATACTCAAATGGCCTCCACAGTCACCAGAACTCAATCCAATAGAGCACCTTCAAGATGCAGTGGAATGGGAGATTCGCATCATGACGAATCTGCAGCAACTGTGTGATGCTATCATGTCTATATAAATCAAAATCTCTGAGGAATATGTTCAGTACCTTGCTGAATCTATGCCACAAAGGATTAAGGCAGTTCTGAAGGCAAAAGGTAGTCCAACGCGGTACTAGTAAGGTGTACCTAATAAAGTGGCCAGTGATTGTATGTAGGTATTACCTGTATTAGTACATAATATGCAAGATTTATTCAGAATAGTGGTGTAGTTTGGCTGCAGACACTTTCCATTCAGAAAGTGCTAGCAAATTGTACAATTAACTGCAAAACTTGCAATTGAAACACACAATAGCACTGTGGCACTTAAAAATAGCATGTGTTTTGCAGAGAAAAAAAAAAAAAACCTTAACAGCAGGCTCAACTGAATAATTTTATGTTTTGGCAAATTGCTGGCTAATTTATGGAAACCTGTTTGCGCCGCTGAATAAAAAAGGTTAATGCGACTTTTTATCTCACAGAGAATTCTCACAGTTCTGATGTATAACTTAATTGCAAGAATTGTAAGATATAAACTTGCGATTCTAATAAAATACTTTTTGTTTGTTTGTTCCCAAAACCTTATATTTTGATGAGCCAGAAAAGCTCTCTTTATGTACACTAAATTGAGCACTTTTTCTAAGCTAGGATGTTCTCTACTAAAAAAACATCCCATGAAACATTTTGTAAAGATTAGGTTTTGTTTACCAAAACACTAACCTGCAGAGAACATACCCAGAATGGTATTTGATTTGGATGGAAACTTTCAATGTTTGCGGTGCATGTTTGTATCTCAGTTCTGAGAATAATTTAAAAAGGAGTCATTATTGCGAAATATAAACTTGAAATTGCAAGAAAAGTCAATATTGAGAGAAAAGAAGTCGCAATTACCTTTTTAGATTTGTAAATGTTTTACATGATCATGACCCAGACTGTTCTACATTTTCCTGTGAATGTGATTGTACAAAGTCATCAGACACTAACATGACAAAATGTAGGTTTTCTTGTGATATGGAGTTCTTCAGTGCACCGTTGTTCGGATAAATCATCACGCAGGTGGTGAATATTTATGAAATATATCCCAACAATCTGAAATCTAAATCATTATTATAGATTATTAATATTTATTTCATCTATAATTTCTATTAAGATCTCTGATGTTAATCATCTGTCTCCAGTAGACAATCTGCTAATATTATAGCTCTTTAAGTGAAAGACGTTACATATTTTTATCGTAGTATTTATTATGAAGAGGGAAAAAGATGTAGCAAACTGTGAAAATGCATATAACCCTGCTGTCTGATTATACGACTTTTAAATGGATTCATCTTAATCTAACAAACACCTTAAATATTTCCTACTAAATTCACTTGCACCCTATATGCATTTTCAGGCATTACAAAACCTAACTGTCGTGGTAGTTCAACCATAAATGAAAATCTTATCTTCGTTTATTGGATAAACCAATTTAAGTTTCTTTTTTTCCATTAAAAACAAAGGAAGATTTAAAGAAAAAATAATCAACCATTGACCTCCATAGTATTGTTGTTCCTACTATGGATATCAATGGCTGCTTATTCCCCAACATTCTTCAAAATATCTTGTTTTGTCTTCAATAGAAATTCATAAAAATCAGAATTTTCAATTTTGGTTGAACTATCCCTTCAAAACTCACATTAAATCAAATTTCAAAACCTCCACCAATATAAAGTGAAAAAAGACCTCATCCATACATCCACTGTAACCACATGCCGTCTGTCTGACTACTGAACGATAATCTCCAGTAAATATGTATGCATGTTCATGAGGTTTACTTGCACAACCCAGGCTGGCTCCCTTTAATCAAATACGCTCTCGACTTGTAAGTCTACTTGCTTTGTGAAGTGACTTGACGCTGTTTTCCGACAGAGTAGATGTCAAGCTTGTCTTATGGGAATGCAGCTGTAGATAAATGCCTTGAGAATAGTCTGTGGCTCTACAGCAGATGCTGTGCTCAACCCAAGTCTCAAATGTGTATGTTTAACAAAACGTATGGACTCATTTGAACAAATAAAAACACAAACTGGATCAAATATGAGCATCTGTTTTATTACTTTCACACATAAACACCAAAAAAGGCAAGTGAATGATCTGGTTATTGCACACAACCTAATTTTACAAAGCTTCTAGATGAGGGAAATAACGTTTAAAGAGCATCTGAGGGTTTTAATTTACACAAATGATGATGGGGTTCCAACAATTCAATACATTATTCTAATATTTCCCAAACAAAGTCTAGATTTAGTCTCTCCATCGATGGCCACACTGTATATTGCAGCATTTGTAGAAGGTTGTCATTGGTTCATCGGCAGACCTGGTTTGAATCTGCATGAAATAAGCCCTTGGGTGCTCACATTTTGGACAGGGTTCTTCAAGAAACGAAGAAAAAAATAGAGAAGAATGTTAAGCATCAAATTAAACCAGGAAAACTGTCTTTTATTACATGTAGATACATTTTTATTATGGTGGCTTGAGAAAGACAACATACTGTTATACTTTTCCTTCTTCTTCTGAGACTAATTTCTTTATGTATCTCCTCCTAATCCGTTCAAGCTACAAACACCAAATTAACTCCAAACTGGTCTGACTTGAGTTGCTATATCTTTTCCAACTAATGCGATTCACGGTTTTCCAAAAACTGACCCAGAGAATTCGGAAAAGTCCCATTGACTTAACATTGGACCAAACTTTGTAATCTTATATCTTTGCGCCAGAGTGTCATACAGATTTAAGGTTGGGCTCATTTAACCCAGACTACCAATTTTGCCAATCACTGATGACCTTTCAACTTACTAGCAGCACTCTAGCAACCACTTACAGCACCCTAGCAAGTAGCAACTGTCCCATAGACTTCCATTATAAAAAAAAAAAAAAAAAAAAAAAAAAACACTGCCATTGACTTTACATTGAATATAATCCACACTAGAAACATACTGCCAACATACAAATCTATACTATTAACATACCAAGCCACACTAGAAACATACTAACAACACACAAATCTATACTAAAAACATACCAAGCCACACTAGAAACATACTAACAACACACAAATCTATACTAAAAACATACCAAGCCACACTAGAAACATAGTAAAGACACACCAATCCATACTAATAACATACTAAAAATATACTAATCCACACTAGAAACATACTAACAATATACCAATCCATGGAAGAAACATAACAAACATACTCCAAATATACCAATCCATACTAAAAACATACTAACAATATACCAATTAATACAAGAAACATAAACCACACTAGAAACACACTAAAGGACACACCAATCCATACTAGATACATACTAACAAACATACTAAAAATATATTAATCCACATTTGAAACATAGTAATAATATACCAATCCATGGAAGAAAAACATAACATACTCCAAATATACCAATCCATACTAGAAACATAATAAACCACATTAAAAAACAAACCAAGGCCACACCAATTCATACCATAAAACATAATAAAAATATACTAATCCATACTAGAAACATACAAACAATATACCAATCTATACTAGAAACATACTAACGGACACACCAATCCATACTAAAACATACTAAAAATATACTAACCCACACTAAAACATACTAACAATATACCAATCTATACTAGAGACATAAACCACACTAGAAACATACTAAGGACACACAAATCCATACTAGAAACATACTAACAAACATACTAATAATATACCAATCCAGACTAGAAACATACTATAATAATCTAATCCACACTAGAAACATACTAACCATATACCAATCTATACTAAAACATACCAATCCATACTAGATACATGCTGACCTATATGTAGTTATCAATCTATGCCGACTGTTTCAAAATTCTTAAAAACTATTTCAATTAATTAAACTTTAAAACTACTTCAAACTTTCAGACTAGTCTCAGTCAATCCACCATAAGTTTGTGAGCAAACTTTACTTTTCAAGTTTCATTTGTTTACCTGCAGTGGAATCCACATTTTCCCAAGCAGCAGATCCTCCAAGAACATCATCAACCTCCTTCAGTTTGGGGTACTTTCTGTTGTTTACCTGTTAAAGCACATAAACAGGTTTGTTTTCCTATTTTTTTATCAGGTCAATGATACTGTCTATGCCTGACCATAAACCTAACCCTCATAGAAACAAGCTTCAATTGTTAGATACTAATAAAAACAAGGATGGTTCAAGGTGATTTATAAGTGTTTTTAATTTTACTGCAAGTTGCTGAGACTTATTTTAGTATGTTGAAGGACCTCAAACTGAAACTGCATATTGAGTAGGGGGCGGGGCTTTCTTTTTGCACATCATTCCCTCATCAACTAAAGGTAAGAGGGGCGTGGTTAGGAATATTGTGGATGCATCTGCCAAACTGACATCATCAGAGAAGGACTGCCACTCCAAACGCCAGAGCAAATGGTCAGACTTTGAAGATTATCAGAACAAAGATTTTTTTTTTCGGTGAATTAGCTTGCATGGATTTATCATTTACCTAAAGAATAGCATTGTGTGCTTGTAAAATAAACACTGTAAATTTGGATTTCACACAGACTTTAAAGAATATATATGCGGAATGTTGAAAAAAACTATCAATGACATAAATAGCAAAAATACTATGACAAGTGGCTCTTCTTTAATATGTCACTGTATAAATACAGTTGTTACCAGTGTCTAAAACAGCGTCATTTTGAATTCTAATCAGAGTTTGAAATTGACTTTTTCACTTAACAGCCAATTACATTTACAGACCAACTAAGCATTGAAAACTTGTATGTGTTTTGGCCATTTGTTTGCACAACAGCATTTTGGGGGATGCAAAAATGAGTTTTTAAGAGCTATCTTTTAAAAACAATGTCAGTAGTTTATAGAGGTGATTTATTTATCCAGGTTTTGTGTTATGATTCTGAAGTTAGTATTGTCATGTGCTATAATTGCATCTGTGTCTTTAAGACGGGAAACAGGTGGCATGATGGGAAGTTTTGTAATGTTACGGAGTTCATAGACACAAGAGAAGTAAAGAGTGGTGGTAAAATGTTAACCTGCGTGTGGCACTGTGGCTGATTTAATTCAGAAGTATGTGCAATTTATGAATGAACATTTGATGATAAGACACACATACATAAGTATCTATGAAGTGACATCAAATATAAACTTTTAAGTATCCAGATGTTTATCCACCTGAAGCTATAACAATATTTCTAAAAAATTTCTAAAATATTTTTAATTCCTACGTTTTCAAGATAATATAAACGAAGTTCTTGGTTTATTAAGTACATTGAGTAAGTTTATATCTTCTGTTAAACAAAAGAAGATATTTTGAAGAATGTTGCTGGGATCCATTGACTTCAATCAACTCTTATTTCCTACTATGGTAGAAAATGGGTGCCAGCATTATTCAAAATATCTTTTAATGAGAATTTATTCTAAAACTGTAAATTTTATACATAAATATAATAACGTGATGAAATAAAGAGCATTTTAAAGTACAATACAATCTTATAATCATTTAACCATTTCATTTAAGTAACTACTCAGTAACCCAGCGTTATTTATCATGCTCTGAAAGCAATGTTTGATAGAACATAAACACTCCCTCACTCAAATCTATTTTTGTTATATAATTTGTAATGTTAGAAACATTGATCTCATCAGATGTTCCTCACACGTTCTCATATTATCGAATCAAGTCATTTCTTTCGTTTCATTCGAATCGAACTTTTAAATGTCGGCGTTCCGTCGAACTTTAATGCGTTCGAATCAAACGTTCCAAACGCTTATTAGATACAAATTTCCATAACCGGTGTTATGCATTACCTTCCTCGTGATGTTGTGCACATATGGACATGTGTTACACGCGAATCTAAAGCATCGCTGTCCTTCTTCCACGATTAACACATTCCCACATGTCGGACAAAACAGGAGCATTTTCAAACAGTCATAGATTATGTTACGTAGTAAATACAGTTATAGTTTCTTTCTGATGCAACTGAAGTTGGTATTTACACACAGTCCTTTCTAAGTCGCTACAGGAAGCACATGACAATCAATGTGCCTCTGTATTATTGGCTCGCCATAAAACGAAATATAGACAAGGATGAACACTGTTTCTGTTGTATATATTAAACTTAAATATATATGAAAATGTCAACGAATATATTAATGCTGATTAAAAAATATTTTAATAGAAGATTGTTATTGTAATAAAGAATGTGAATCATAAAAAACCTATGCGGAACTAAAGTCGGGTGCATCACTGAAATATTCCGACAGCGTGTTTATAAAAATGAAATGTAAAAAGAAATGCTGGAACGGCTCAAATTGTTAAAGTTACAATTTTTAATACAATAAGCTTCTGCAAAAGGCGTACAGTTTTTTTACGAAATTGTAGTTATGTTAACTATTAACGCTTAGTGACTTTTTTATAAGTCTTGGATTTCTATACCCTCAAAACAAGACGTTTGAAGATAAAATGGACGAAATAAAGGACGAAACCGAGCTCAAAAAAGAGTTAGAGGAGAAAACTGTGGAAGATGAAATAAAAGAGGAGCACGAAGAGGAAGAAGACGAGGAGGCTCTTCCACACTCAGAAATTCTGGACATCTTTGAAGAAGGGCTGGCTCTCATAGTGCAGGACCCGCTTCTGTGTGACCTGCCCATTCAGGTGTACATGCAGTCAAGGGGCTGTTTTAAACGGACAATTCACCCAGATATTAAAATGTTCGGTTAATTGACATCCCAAGATTCTGTTCTTAAGTAGAACAGAAAATACGTTTTTTTTTTAAGTTGAGAACTATGTTTTCCTATGTACGTTATCTATATAATGGTGGTCAAGAAGCGCCATCACTTTGAGTTTAATATATTTAAAATCTTCCTCAGAGCTGTTTGTCCAGGTTGTGAATAGCTGATAATGTAGTTGTAAATACTAGAGGGTAATAGTTCCAGCTTAAAATCTTCTATATTCTACAGATTTTTTTTCAACAGTTTCTTCTCCTCTGTGTCAGTATAATGCTCACATTTATGTGCCGCGTTTGGTTGCACCTCTGACTTGCTTATTACCTCAAATGTGTCTGTGAATTGTTTCAAACTAAGGAAGTCATAGTCAGTACATAAGTGCACACCACTCGTGAACACATGCAATACACTGAGGAGAAGAAACTGTTGAGTAAAGTAGTTATTTTTGTTTTATGTGCACACAGATGTATTCTCGTAGCTTGATAATATTCTGATTGAGCCACTGTAGGCATATGATCTGTTTTGATGATGATTAATTTGTATTGTTCAGGACTTTGAACAAATTGGAAACCATTGCTGTCTAGGGAGAATGAGGGAACTCTCAGATTTCATGAACCAACCATTTAATTTACCAGTCCTAAATAAACTGTTTATTTGAATGCATTAATTATTAATCCTATATTTCTGAACCTTTGAATTTTTCAGGTCACACTGGAGGAGGTAAACTCTCAGGTGGCTCTGGAATATGGCCAGGCTATGACTGTTCGGGTTTGTAAGGCGGATGGAGAAGTCATGCGTAAGTTTTCTTATTTAATATGTCTTTGCCAGATTCCCAGTGACCCATGAGATCTTGATCTGGGAAACAGCATATGTTTCTTGACATGTTTTTTTTTTAAATGGTTGTTATTTATTAATTGATTCTGACTGGAGCCCATCTCTCCACAGCTATTGTGGTTGTGCAGTCTGCAACTGTTCTGGATCTCAAGAAAGCCATTCGCAGATATATGGAGCTGAAGCAACAGCGAGAAGGAGGTGTCAAGCACGTCAGCTGGTGAGACGTGAGAAAAATATGAAGAGTTCAGATGCAAAATCTCCAAGTGCCATCTAGAATTTTCTTTTACAATGAGCATTTTTCTCAGTCTCTTCTCTTTATGTTCAGTGATTTCATGTTATAATCGATGGAAATAAGCTATTCTTTGCCATAAATTTAAAATTACTTAATCAAGACATAGGAGCCTGAGAAAAATGCTAATATTAGAAGGAAATTTCAGATGGCACTTAGAGGTTTTTGCATCTGAACTCTTCATGGCAGTGAAAATAAGTAAATTAGAGAAAACCTCATGCGGGCTTGAATATTACAGAAGTAATGTAATCTGCCTCACTCAGATTTTTAAGGAATTTAAGTCATGACTATATCATGCTAGTACGTATACTTAATTTTTTTTTTAAACATTTTTAAAAAAATATGGGCTCATTTAATACGCCTAAAAATTTTTTTTGCTCCTGTTAGTATAACTTCAGACCTTTGTTGTTGTACTTTTGTTGTATTTATTTAATCATATTTGTATTTATTTATATTTGTATTTATTTAGATTCGTTTTGTTTGTTAAATGTTGTATTTTTTGTTTGTTTTATTTCGATTTTTTGTCTGTCTTTTTTCTTCAGGAAATATGTGTGGAGGACATTTCATCTAGTTTTCAATGGGGAAAAATTAGAGGATGACAGAAGAAAACTGAAGGAGTGAGTCCAAATCTTGCATTGCGGAAGTATTTTTCTTTTTTTGTGGTTAAGCATGATTGTGTTTCTTCTGTCCTCAGCTACGGGGTCAGGAACAGAGATGAAGTGACATTTTCAAAGAAACTGAGGAAGAAATGAACAGCTGCCACGTTTTTGGGCTAAAGTTGTAAATAGCAGAGAAATGTCAACGACAATTTCCAAAACAGAGAAAATGTTGCATAGTTTTTTTGTTTGTTTTGGCCCAAAATGTTTTATAAAAGGTCAGTTCACCCCAAACAGACACTTTAGTCATCGTGTCATTCTAAAACCATTAGTTCTTTTAATCATCTTTGGAGGACAAACCAAGTTTTTAATGAAATCTGATAAATTTCTGTCCCTTAAATGAAATATGTGTGTGCTTTTTTGTTTGTTTGTTTGTTTGTTTGTTTGTTTGTTTTTATTTGAATTGTTTAATACAAGTCTTCTGAAGAGACAATCTCTTTAAACAATGACAAAGTAATTTTTTTTTTAATAAACAACAGTTTTATGAGTTTGGAAGGATGCGAGAATAAGTAAATGATAATTGATTTTTGGGTGGCACAGTGGCTTGGTGGTTTGCATTGTCACCTCACAGCAAGAAGGTTGCTGGTTTGAGTCTTGGCTGGGCCAGTTGGAATTTCTGTGTGGAGTTTGCATGTTCTTCCTTTGTTCGCGTGGGTTTCTTTTGGGTGCTCCGGTTTCCCCCAGAGTACAAAGACATGCGCTTTTTTCCGGGCTGCTTGTTATTGGAAAAAAATAAATATTGGGATATAAAAATAATTTTATTAGATTACTTTATTTGGAAATAATTTCTAATTTTATATTGATTGGAATAAGCAGCGTAAAACATACAAAATTATGCTATATATATATATATATATATATATATATATATATATATATATATATATATATATATATATATATATATATATATATATATATATATATATATGTATATATATATATATATATGTATAACAGTTGAAGTCAGAATTATCAGCCCCTCTGAATTATTAGGCCGCTTGTTTATTTTTTCCCCAATTTCTGTTTAACGGAGAGAAGATTTTCTGAACACATTTCTAAACATAATAGTTTTAATAACTCGTTTCTAATAACTGATTTATTTTATCTTTGTCATGATGAGAGTACATAATATTTTACCAGATATTTTTCATGACACTTCTAGACAGCTTAAAGTTAACTAGGTTAACTAGGCAGGATATGGTAATTAGGCAAATTATTGTATAACAGTGGTTTGTTCTGTAGACAGCTTATATAGCTTAAAGGGCTAATAATTTTGTCCTTATTTTTATTCCTGTAATATCTATGCTTTATTATATATAATAATAATAATAATTAATTTCATTAAATAATTAGGCAATTCATGTTCATTAAAGTAACAAACTCTAGAAATACATCCAAATTAAATTCTTTCACATTATTAGATTTGACTTTACAAATCACATGCTCTAAACTGTTTTGGTCAATTATAATCCCAGTTTGACATTCCAGATGTGCGATGTGACTATTGCAGATTCACACATTGCAATATCGATGATGAAATGATATATTGGAGCTCTAACATGCACCATAAGTGAATGAAATAAAATTGGCCTGAAATTGACCTCTGAATAGAGACTCAGCTAAAGGAAAATGAATGAATGAATAAATGAATTTTGGGTTGAAATAATCCTTTTTGGGGTTTGCTTTTCTGCAAAATAACTTTTTAGTTGTCACATTCATACAGAATATACAGTATACAAGTCATATGGACTAGGCTTGTGCTTTATTTTTTATGAGCTCTTATTTTGTTAACTCTAGACAATGTTCTTCGAAATTCCCCTTTTATATTTCCCACAAAATGCAAATGTGACAGTTCGGGTGTCTGGTTGCATCGATGCAAATGTGTGAATAGACTACTTCAATGAGACTAAATATCAATATAATACACACTGTACATCCACATCTATTCACTTGATGTCTTATGAAGCCCTCAAATAATTTGAGTAATTACATGTTGCTTTCATATTGATATAACCATTGTATATAACATATTACACTTGTAAATGGTGAAAACATGATTGATTTTTTTTTAAAGTGCATTTTTATTTCCCTTCATTGTTCTTATTTTGCCCAAAACTGCTTTTAACCTATATGTGTGCCATTTAAGAGCCTCACCATGACATGAATTAGCAGTTGCCTTACTTGCATTTAGTAAAATACAGGTAAACCACATACTTTAAATATTACCAACATGTTCCTCGCTACAGTATACAACCAAGCACATATTTCCTTATTACTGGAATGTGGAAAGCTACTGATGGGACGCTACAGTATGCATCGGTAAGTTTTTAATCCAATTTTAACCACTTCTGCTTTTACTGTTCATTCATATTATAATCACACACTAAAAGTGGTATTTGTAATACAAAAGCCTTGATTCTCCTGCATTCCTGCCCTAAAGCGAAGTTCTGTTGCGTAACTGTGTTGTATTTCTTTCAGAGAAGACTCTTTATGATGGTTTGAGAATTGTGGATGTTTAGGTGAGCGGTCATCTCAACCCTCAACATGCCTGAGCAATCTGAAGATCAGCTGTCGAACATCTTTGAAGACCTCAACCTTCTGTCTCTTAAAAGACAGCAATTCACCGATAGACGCAATGTGTTGGCCATGCTCATTCAGTTCAAGAAAAACAACGGGCAAAACGAGCAACGTCAGTATGATCAGATCGAACCAAATAATTGTTTGCTTTTTAATGATTTACAACAGAAGCCAGATATAATGTGAAAGACATCTAGGAATGATTTTTAAGAGGAAAATTCTGGTTATAATTGACACTGGACTACATTTGTATTGAGATTTTCACATAATGGATAAATAAGCTTTTCATTGATGTGTGGTTTGTTCGGATAGGACAATATTTGGCTGAGATACATCTGTTTAAAAGTCTGAGCGTAAAAAAAAAACTTTTTATATACACTAGAAAAATGTACAAATATCTCCATGGAACACAGTTTTTACTTATCCTAATAATTTCTGGCATAAAAGAAAATAATAATAATAAAATAATAATAATTTTGACATATACAATGTATTTGTAGCTATTGCCAAATATATACCCCTATGACATAAGTTTTGTCATCCTGGGTCACATATGGTTGCATGTATGTGTGTGTTTTTACAGTAAATTTCCTATTTTAGTGAACTGATGTCACTCACATTAGATCTTTAAACCAACAGAGTATTCCAAAGAGAGAGAGGAACTTCAGAAAATTGATGAGAAGCTTAAAGAGCTCTCTGAGAAAAAGGTTGAACTGGAGCAAAAGCAAGAGCGATTGAATGGCTTGCCTACTGTAATAAGTAAAATGACACCTCATGCTTTATACTATGCTTAAACATTTAGAAATTGATCTTTGTGTTTTTTGGAAGCATAGTTAATATTATTATCATTATTATTATTTCAGACACATCATCATCTGGTGTTGTATTTGTTGACAGACCACCTGATTTTCCAGGTAAGAGTGTTTATATGGTAATAAATATATGATGCGCACTCTTAAAGTGATTTATTTTGTATTCAGTATTGTAAATTGTACTCTCTCTCACATGGGTTTTAAAACCGTTATGAATTTTTTCTTCGGTTGAACTCAAAAGAAGATATTTTAAAGAATAATGAGTGCTAGTACCTATCGAAATCCATAGTATGAAAATGTTACTAAGTAAGTCAATGGGTGCCAGCAACCACCATTCTTTAAAACATCGCCTTTTAAATTCAACAGAAAAAAGAAACCTTACATAGGTTAGTAATTGGTTAAATGTTCAATGTTGGGTGAACTAACCCTTTATATGAAGAGTTAAGATGCAAAAACCTCTAAATGCCATCTAAATTTTCTTCTAAAGTGAGCATTTTTATCAGGCTCCTGTGTGTATGTTCAGTAATATCACTTTTATGGCACATAAAAAGTCCTTTTCCCTTTCTTTAAAGTGAAATATCTCAACATGAACAAAGGAGGTTAAGAAAAATGTTTATTTTCTATGGAAATGTCAGCCGGCACTTTTTGCATGTGAACTCTTCATATGTTCTCTCCATTTCTTTAGATTATTAGGCTCCACTTTATGTTAGGTGGACTTAACTACTATGTAGTTACATCAAAATAAATTGTACTTGATGTGCTCATGATGCATGGCAGAACACTTCTGTTGCTATTAGGATGGTATATTAATAAGGCTAGGGAAAAGTTTAGTTGTGTGGGTTAGTTTAAGGGTGTGTTAAGGTGTTAGGGATGGTCAACAGCGTAATTATACATGTAATTACAAAAAATAACTACAGATGCAATTGCATGCAAGTATTTAAGCATTAGGACAATGAAAAAACATATACTAGTGGCGGGCTGTTATCAACGTTAACATGCTGTGTTAACGTGAGACTCTTATCGAGCAATTTAAAAATATCGCTGTTAATCTATTCTCAAAGTTAAGTTGGGACCTTGGTCTGTTCTATGCAAGCTATGGTGACTTTCCTGTTGATATTTTAGAGTGGATGTATACCTGGCCGAATTGTAACATAGGGGGTGAGAACAAGTCTTCGAACCTGTGTGTATTCCTACTCTGAAATGACCTCATCAAACGTAATGTGCTAACATGGATGCGTTTCACTAGAGTGGATCTGATAAATGTTAGCTACACATCTATCTATCAGGCACCTGTAGAGTTTATGCGTTCGAGTAAAACATATACCAATAAAATGGAGCAGGGGCTTTTTAAATTGAATGATGGTGAATAAAAAGTCAAACCGGTGAGCTGTCTGACAAAAAAAAGTGCCCTTCTAAATCAAACCAGCAGAATGCCCTTCTGGATCTTTCACTTACTTCAAAAACACTAATGAATACGTTTACATGGACATCTGTAATCTAGTTATTTTCCTTAATAGACAATAATATAATTAAGGTGCATGAAGTGCTTTCATGTATGAGTTTGGGTGACTTTAACTGCAGTTCGGCAGTTTCACTTTAACTCATGAACATTTTATTCATGCCACCGTGACAAACTGGGGTATTAGATGCAAATAAGGAGTAAGGACTGGTGAAAGTTTTATGAAATTTAATAACGCACGCCGAATGGAAAGAAAAAACTCCCGCATTTCGCGGTGTGTGTGTGTGTGTGTGTTGTCCTTTACTGACAGCCGCGTGTGTGGATCTTGTCGGAAAATATGGCAAAAGTCCTACATGACAGTAATGGTTTGATTGCGGTGTTTACTTCAATAATGCCACTAATATCTGCATATTCCACAACTCAATTCCATTTCTGTTTAGTTCAGTTATGAATTTAGTTGGATTAAGGTACTCAAAATAGCTTTTTGGAGTTTA